GTAATTCAGGAAGAGGGTGAGCCTGCCACACTGGATCTTTGCTTACAGGTCAACACCTAGAGCTAAAAATCCATTTTATGGTGAAACATGAGATTAGCTAACCTCTCAGGCTAGCCGAGGGCCAGCTACAAATGTTTCCTGTGTGTATTGTGAAACTCTGAGACGACAGCGAAGTTCCTCATTGCTCCCTGAAGTTCCCTTCCTCCTAACTTCCATTGGTCACACAAACCATTATCTGAGGCAAGCTGACCACACCGCAATGTTGTAATTTCTCTTCGTCTATGCTTCCAAATTAAATCTGCTTGGAAATAAAGAAGAAGACATTTCTTCTTTTTTCTGTGCTGAAGGAGTTTGTTTCTTTTAAAACTGTCAACTAATTTTATTTTGTATAAAACACTCAACCTGTAAATACTCTATGATGACAAAAAAAACACAAAACACCTTGGGAACAGAGCTAGGCACTAAGGACTCAGACATTCTTGATGTTGTGCAAAGACTGTACAAAAATGCGGGCGGATGCCCAAGGGTTCACATGCATAGCCAGGACCCAAGACCCACTAAGACAGTAAACATTAACTCTATTTAGTTTTACTCATACTGGATGTATGCAAAATTCCATTCATCTTACTTTACAATTTCTCCATCCATCCCATTTCTTTCTTTCTTTCTTTCTTCTTCCTTCTTCCTTCCTCCCTCCCTCCCTCCCTTTCTTCTTTCCTTCCTTTCTTCTCCTTCCTTACTCTTTCTTTCTTCCTTCCTTCCTTCTTTCCTTTTCTTTGAGTAAAAATATAGCAATTTCCCAACTACGTGTTCCATTTCAGACTTCACATCTCTTCTCATTTTATTCTAACTGCATACCAATGGTGCATTATCTGGTAGCCTATGAGCATCAAGGAGAAACTGACTAGCAACTACCTCAAGCAAGCCATGGGGCTAGAACTCTGATGACTCACATTCACATGTGACTCAATTGTAAAAAGCCAGGCCTAAAACATCTACAGTCTTAGATCTTTCTTTTATTATCACTTAAGCACAGCTGTAAGACTTCTAACAGAAGAGTAGATGAGCCAGGCATGTAGGCACACATTAGTAATTCCAGCACTCAGTAGGCAGAGACAAGAGAGGATCACAGGCTCAAGGCCAGCCTGGACTATGGAAGTGAAAGGAGGAAGGAAAGGGGTAAGGAAAGGAAAGAGGAAGGAAAGGAATAAGAGAGAGGAAGGAAGGAAGGAAGGAAGGAAGGAAGGAAGGAAGGAAGGAAGGAAGGAAGGAAGGAAGGAAGGAAGGAAGGAAGGAAGGAAGGAAGGAAAGGAGGAAGGAAGGACAGGAGAAAGGGAAGGAGAGAGAGAAGGAGAGAGGGAGGGAAGGAGAGATCAGTTTATCAATGTCTTGCCATGATAAGTTGATCTTTAACCTGACCTCCTAATTTCTTCAATAATAAATCTATTGGCATGCATTAAGTTAGGAAAGACTGACCTACCCAAAAATTAAGGCTGGAAATACCATCATCCTTGCCAAGAGCAGGTTGTTTTTCCTGTTTCACTTGAGCATGAACATTCCAAAATGATACCAAACAGAAATGCTATCTTAAATTTTATCACAGCACTAGCTAAGGAATCCCAGTGTACACTGTCAATTTATATGTATCACACAGCAAAGCAAAGGGCATTTCAAACCTGAGAAAGTTAAAGCCTCATAGGAGATGCCTGAAGACAGTTTCCTGAGCTATGTTTTCAAATCTCATTTGTTAACCCAGATTCCTCCCAGAGCCCACCTGGCACCTCATTTGTTTTGGGGAAAGCATGTCTATGACCAAGACACAGAATGGCTAGGCTGGGTAAAACACAAATCAAACCAGAAATTCCTGCTCACCAACACCTGAGGAAATGACAGCTCATTTGAGGGCCTGTGGTAGACTCCAGACGAAAGGCCAGGTTACAGTAAAAAAAAAAAAAAAATGTTTACAAGCTGCATACCACACAGCTGGAAAGGAAGGGCTGAGGTCTCTTCTAAAGAATGTGAATTATGTGTACATCCAATCAAGAATAACACATTGATTTGTATCCAGTAACAATTTCTCAGGTATAGGTGACTTACAACTTATACAGCATTTCTCATAACTCTCACTGGCCTTCTACATGGTGTTCAAACAGGGCTGTAATTTTTCAGGTTATTTTAGAAATAAGAACTAGAAGCTCCAGAAGAAGAAAGATTGGCCCCCTGTGAACCAGATGTGAGGGGCCAGTTGAGTGCACATACTCAAGTGTCACTGAGCAGTTGCCTTTATCCCAATTCAGTCATTTGATTAAAAAAAAAAATCACTCAGCCAACTTTTCATTGGACAATATGAGGGTCCTATTAACATCATGTTGAACTTCTGTTGATTCCTTTGCATTGTTCTGAAAACACAAAAATATTCACATCATTAAGCAAGCTGTGAAAATGATTAAATTTGTTTCTTTTTCCCTCCCTCCTTGTATTTTATTTTCGTGGGTTTTTTCCCCACTGCTTTTGTAGTCCAGGTTGTATTTGAAATTAGAAGGTTGAAACTATGGGCATGTGACTAAAGTATGGATGGTAGAATTCACCCTCTGATATCCAGTATTTGTTGTAGAAGTTCTGGTAACAATTGTCTCCGTGTTCGATGCAGTGTCATTTTATTTTCCTGAAAACATTTGTCCTTGCTACAAGTAGCTTAGAGGTTAGAATGCAGGATTGGCAGGCAGGATTTGTGGTTGCTATTATTAGCCCAGACACAGTTTTATCACACAAGGGTGAGCCCTAAGCAGTGTGGTTTCTTGGCGAGAGAACGTGACTGGAGCTGACCTTTCTCTGAATGAGGGATGGTGAACACAAGGGCCATGCATCAGCAGAGCTGAGTCCAGACTATGGTATGGGATCCCCTCTCTCACTGACTCTAAGGTTGACATGACAATAACACCACAGCAGGGAAAATTACAGAACAATTCTACTGGACCTTTCTCTACAACCTTCTGCCATGGGAACAAAAGCCACTTGAGAGGTTTTAACCAAGGAAAGAACAACCTTGAACATCGATTGCTTTCCAAGCATGCTTCTGGTCTGTGCACAAACCCATAGGTTGTTTGTGTATGTGTGGAGGGGGGGATGTGGGTGTGGGTATAGGTATGTGTGTGCAACAGGTCAAAAGAACACCACCCTGTTTGAAAAAGGAAAGATGGAGTAGAGATGATCATGTTTCCAGATGATCACTAATGTTCTTTAACTTCACATACCACAGTCCATGCTAGAAAAAAGAATTTAGATCAGGCACCAAATGGCTCACACCTGTAATCCTAGCTACTCAGTAGGCTAAGATCTGAGGACAGCGGTTTGAAGTTAGCTAAGGTAACAAAGTCATGAAACTCTTACCTGAAATGCCAAGAAACCATAAGTGATGCTATGATTTAAAGTGGTAGAGTGCTAGCCTTGAGCAAAAAAGCTCAATGACAGTGCCCAGGCCCCAAGTTCAAGCCCCATGACTGACCCCCCCAAAAAAACCCAAAAGCTCAAAACTCAAAAATTTATGAAGGGGAACACACACACACACACAAATATTCACTGTGAGAAAGATTTGTAATAGCTTCTAAGTTTAAAGGCATGAAAACTTTGGGCAAGCCCTGCATAGGCTCAGGCCCCCTTCCTACTGTTCAGAGTTTCTATGAATTCCTATGCTTAATTCTATTCTAAAACTCTATGACCCACCATCACCATTACCAGGAAAGACAAATGTTGGCCCTGATTCTCAATCTCACCAACTACAGCTTACTTTCCCGGTCCCTACCCTCTTTATTTGATAGCTATCAGCCTTCTTCACCATCACCAAGGCCACATATGAATCTGCTAACTCAGCCTGTATTCTATCATTTATCATTTAATTCCTGTATTCTATCATTTATCCATTTGAGAAATACCTAAATCATTGAAAAACAATAGATATACACACCTGCTTAATATGGGCCAAGCATTGTGCTCAATTTGTGGATATAGTAGCAGCAATAAAACCAAGTACCAGACACTGCAATGCCTGTAATCCTAGCTACTCAAGAGGTTGAGATATGTGAATCATGGTTCAAAGCCAGCTGGAGCTGAAAAGTCTGTGATAGTCTTCTTTCCAATTAACTACCAAAAAGCCAGAAGTAGACCTACGATTCAAGTAGTAGAGTGTCAGTCTAAGAACCATTGTACATGCCCTGAGTTCAAGTCCCAGTACTGGCACACACACACACACACAAACACATATTAATTGCTTAATAGGAAACAGGGCATAAAAATAAATAAATTTCACAAACAGGCATATAGTAAGAACATTTGGTATGTGCTGGAAAAGAGAAGACAGGAAACTGTCAGAGCACTGGGCCATAGTCAGGTGGTACAGCAGCTAATATCTGAAGGTGAGTATTCTGAATGTCAGTCTCTGTTGTTTTGGACTTCTTAATGTTGTCTACCTCATACTTCCATGCCCAGATCTGCCTTTCCTGAGGAATTTGTGATGATTCATTTTTTGTTTGTTTGTTTTTTGTTGGTTGTGGGGCATGAACTCTGGGCCTGGGCTCTGTCCTTCAGCTCTTCAGCTCTCGGCCAGTACTCTACCACTTGAGCCACAGCACCACTTCTGGTTTTCCGAGTGATTTATTGGAGATAAGAGTCTCATTGACTTTCCTGCCTGGGCTGGCTTTGAACCTCGATCCTCAGATCTCAGCCTCCTGAGTAGGTAGGATTACAGGCATTAGCCACGGACGCCTGGTTGATGATTAATTTTAATTAACATGATTGAATTGTGAAACCCCTAGGAAATTAGTAAATTATACCTCATTATGTAGCTGTGAGGACAGTTGCAGAGCCAATTAGCTCCTTAGGACTCTGACCTAATCCATTTGCGGATTCAAATTTTGAATACACTATTGGGAGGTGGTAGACACTGGAAGACTAGATATAGTTGAAGCAAGTGTGTCTTAAAAGTATGTCTTATCTTCCCCCAGGTCCATTCAGTTTCTGCTCTACTCTGCTTCCTGGTTGCCATGACTTGAACAGTTCTGCTCCACTAATCCTTCCTTGCCATGATGGACTGAAAACTCTGAAACTAAGAGCTACCATAAATTCTAACCCTTCTTAAACTGTTTAAGTCAGGTGATTTGACACACTGATGGAAAGTCCACCTACTACAGAATCTTTACCAGACCCACCCCCCCTCCTAGAATGGACACTGAGCTACTACTACACCAAAATTCCAGCCCAACTTCCTTACAGACGCTCCAGCTCAACCAAAACACGATGTGGTCAAACCAACTTGCCTCCACTGAATTCAACTATGACATTCTGACACTGGGGCTCTGGCAACCAACTCTAATATAAGGAAAGATGTTTTCCAAAGAAATAAATTCAAAGCAAAATCAATCCTAAGCTGGTGTAATTGGAATAGAACTGTTTGAGGGAAGACACGTCTTGAGGTAGGTCAGTGGTTGGTTCCCCCTTTCTGCTCCTCTTTTTGCTACAAGTCATGAGACAGTAAGACACACTACTTGGCATGTCTGGGAGCTGACCTGGCTCATCTCCCAAACTTGCCTTCATTTCTGAAGATCATTGAAGTTCGGTTTGCTCAGCTGGGGGTTAACTGGGTCTGTTGAACATATTGGTTCTTTTATAAATACTGAAAGTTCAAGAATTTTCTTCCAAGGCTGTATCAAAATGTCACTTGTCTACCAAAACTACTAACAAGTACACTTTGTGCATTATCTGTGACAATCCAGCATTTGCTATCTAGGCCACCAGCTCTAAGTTGACAAGCAGGAGGGCCCATAGGAAAGGGCAGGGTTAAATGTGTAAGGGGTGGCTTGGCCTGAGAATAAACTGTGGCAGTAGATACTGTTTTCTTGATTTTTTTTTCTTTTTGTATTAATAACATTCTGTTCTACTGAGATTAATATTTAATGAATGATAATCATGAGCCAGGCACTTGGCTAAGATCTGGAAATGGAATGATAAATAATATTGCCACAAACTTAGCCCTCAGAGAGCTTAGAACCTCACAGAGAAAATACAATTAAGTATGTGATTACAATGGGGTATATCAATCTCAAAAGCAAAAGGCCTGAGGGGCATCTAACCCACATATGGGTGATAAGGACCTAGGCTACAAGGAAAGCTGAATCATTTGAGGCTGTTGTTACCTATTTATTTTTTCTTTGTTAATGACAATTGAATGGCATAAAGTTGATGGGCCATAATTTAATCAAATGTTCAGGTGAGGAAAATTTAACATTCTCTCTCTCTCTATTTCAGTTTTATTACAAATAATTTTGTCTTAACCAGCCCTCGCAGGTCATTTGTCACAATAGTAGGCCAATTTGTTACCTACTGAATGAGCTAGGCTGATTTGTTTACTTAGAGGAATTATGCCATATTAAAACTTCTATGAAATTCAACCTTATAGATGATTTCATTTTACGGATTATAAGTTTATATGTCTAGACTACCTAGCCCATGATTTTATATATTTCTCCCTTTCTGTAATCAACACACACACACACACACACACACACACACACAGATTTAACTCATTAGAGTTAACATTTAAGTAAAGCATAAGTATGATAGTAAATACTCACTTAAAAATTACGTAATAGCCGGGCACTGGTGGCTCACACCTGTCATCCTAGCTACTCAGGAGGCTGAGATCTTAGGATCGAGGTTCAAAGCCAGCTCTGGCAGGAAAGTCCGTGAGACTCATCTTCAATTAACTACCAGAAAACCAGAAGTGGCTCTGTGGCTCAAGTGGTAGAGTGCTTGCCTTGAGCTGAAGAGCTCAGAGATCGAGCCCAGGTCCAGAGTTCAAGCCCCATGACCAAAAAAAAAATTATATAATATATTGTAAAATCATATATAAAGCATGTTGAACAGACTGCATTTTATTTTATATCTATTTATTTTTGCGTTGGTACTCAGGCTTGACTCAGGCCTTATATAATTTTTTTTTTTTGGTGATGGGGCTTTTACTCGGCCTGGGCACTGTCCCTTAGCTCTTTAGATCAAGGTGATTGCTCTACCACTTGAGCCACAGTGCTACTTCTGGTTTTCTCGTGGTTAGCTGGAGATAAGAATCTCACAGACTTTCCTACCAGGCATGGCTTTGAACCATAATCCTCAGATTTCAGCCTCTTGAGTAGCTAAGATTACAAGCATGAGTCACCAGCACCTGCCTTATATAAACTCTTACTTAGCTTTATCACTCATGGCTTCACACTCTACCATTTGAGCCGCACTTCCACTTCCAACTTTTTGCTATTTAATTGAAGATAAAGTCTCACAGATTGTTATGCCCAGGTTGTTTTCAAACCTCGATCTTCAGCTCTCAGTCTCCTGAATAGCAAGAATTATAGGCCTGAGCCTAGCTCAGTGCCCAGCTAGCTACATTTTAAAAACTATCTGCCCATTGTTCTTTGAGTAGAAATGCTCTGGGTATTATTTGTAGTTTACATTACCTGTGCCTTTGTGCTGTTGCGACCAATGATAATTGAAAGTTGAGTGTAGACATCATGAATATTCTTTTGAATTAAAGTCATCTTAAGTTACTTCGTAAAGTTTTACTATTGCTTGTGTGTGTATGTGTGTGTGTGTGTGTGTATGTGTGTGTATTGGTCCTGGAGTTTTTGTTTTATTTTATTTTTTGGTACTTTATTGAAGATAAGAATCTCGGGCTAGGAAGTTGTGCTTGCCTTGCGTGCATGAGGCCCTGGGTTCGATTCCTCAGCACCACATAAGCAAAAAGAAAAAAGCTGGAAGTGGCGCTGTGGCTCAAGTGCTAGAGTGATAGCCTTGAGCTGAAGAGCTGAGGGACAGCACTCAGGCCCAGAGTTCAGGCCCCACGACTGGACCCAAAAAAAAGAAAAAAGAATCTCACAGACTTTTCTGCCCAGGCTAGCTTTGAAATCTTCATCAGATCTCAGCCTTGTGAGTAGCTAGGATTACAAGCATGAGCCATCAGTGCTATCAATACTTTTAAAATGTTTTACCCTCTTATTAAAGGCAATGCAAAAAAATATTTTAATATTAGCCTTCCAAATTTTATTTACAAAGAATATGAGATACCTTTTATATAAAATTCTGCTTTAAAAATAGGGAAGGCAAGAATTAGCGTTATCTGGGAGAATCCACTCTGATTTCTAGAGTTCCCATAATTTACAACCTAGAATTCCTCATTCTCTGAAAAGATGTGTGCCTCCCTTACCAAAAGATGACCTCCAACATTAAGCAGAAATTTCTGTGCAACTTACTCAAAGCCTGTGAATGTAAAGGCGGGGAGTTACACTAAAACACTCTATTTCCAAATCCTTATTTAAAACTTCCACTTGTATAAGAAGTGTACAATACTGTTGGTGGGAAGGTAAAGTGGTACAACTACTCTGGACAGCAAACTAAATATAGATCTTCCCTACAACCCAGCCATACCACTCCTGGGCATCTACCAGAGCATCCCAAGGCAGGATACCATAAAAACACTTGCACATCCATGTATATTGCTGCACTATTTACAATAGCCAAGATATGAAAACAGCCCAGATGCCCTACAATAGGTAAGTGGATCAAAAAAATGTGGTACCTATACACAGTGGGATTTTACACAGCCATCAGAAAGAATAATATTATGTCATTTACAGAGAAATAGATGGACCTAGAACAAATCACGTTAGGTGAAGTAAGCCAAGCTCAGAAACACAAATGGTGCATGTTTTCTGTCATATACAGAAGCTAGACTTACATTACACTGGGACATGACAGATGATACAAGGGCTTTAGGCATTCACACACAGTGAAACCAAAGGAGAATACTCTTCGGGGAGGAACACAAAGGTGCCATGCCTATGTTCCTCTGAACATACAAAGTAATACTTATTGTATCTTATATCCACTCCTGGAAGTGGATACAAGAGGTTTTTATTTGTTGCTGTCTTGGTTTTCTTTTTATCTAGTTTGTTTATCAATCTTTGGGAGGATGAAGGGCCACAGAAATGGGGGGACAAAGGATGAACAAATGCAGCACTGGTCCTACTCACTAGACCTTACACTGAATTGAACTATACAACTTTTGGTAGGAACAGGAGGGAAAACTGGGGGGAAAAAAGAGGGAAAAAAAGAAATGTATTCATGCCAGGCGCTTGTGGCTCACACCTGTAATCCTAGCTGCTCAAGAGGCTAAGATCTGCAGATAATGGTTCAAAGCCAGCCCAGGCAGAAAAGTTCATGAGTCTTCAATAAACCACCAGAAATCTGGAAGTTGTGCTATAGCTCATACTGGTGAAGAGCTAGCCTTAAACAAAAGAGCTCAAGGGCAGCACCCAAGGCTGGGTGCTGGTGGTTTACCTGTAATCCTAGCTACTGAGGAGGCTGAGGCCCCATTTGAAGCCAGCCTAGGCAGAGACTGTGACCTCCAATTAACCACCAAAAAGCTGGAAGTGGAAGTTTGGCTCATATGGTAGAGCACTGACCTTGAGTAAAAAAGCCAAACAAGAGCACAAGTCCCCAATTTCAAGTCCTAGTACTGGCACACACACAAAAATTCTAATTTCATTGTTAACCAGTGGAATACATTTTTTATTATCTTCAAGAATACATTTTTTTATTATCTTCAGAGAGGTTTCAATTCAACACATCAGTTGGAATACATATAAAAAATGAAATTGGATTTGATTATCAATCATGAGGGAAAAAAACCATTTAATTATTTTAATTATTTGAAAAAATAGCTAATTCTACCTGGAATGACAAAAATCATAACAATTCCTTTTATTCCTTCTATTCAGGATAAGAACCTTTGTTGAAATGCCAGGCGACATTTCATTTTTGTCACATTTTTTTCTTTTGTATTTAAAGCATTCAGTGAAGTAATTGTTTGAAGAAATGTCAAGAACATAATCATTTGTAAGAAAAAAAAATAACCCTTGACTCAGGACTCTTTTGCTGTGTGGGTATGTAACAAAGTAAAAGCTTTTAAAAAATTAACTTAAAATGAAATTTCCACTGGGCTCATGCCTGTTATCCTAGTTATACAGGAAACGGAAATCTAAGTATTGAGGTTCAAAGCCAGCCTGACCAAAAAAGTCTGAAAGACTGTTAGTTCTAATTAACTACCAAAAAGCAAGAAGTAGAGTAATGGCTCAAGTGGTCAAGCTCCATTCATGAGCTTAAAAAGCTCCCTAGCTTCAAGTCCAGTATGGGACAAAGAGAGAGAAGATTCAAAATCATGATGCTGATTCAGGAATACCAATTAGGAAGCTTCTACAAGTGAAAACAATTGTTACACCAAAATACTCCACAGATTAAATTCACAGTTTAAGCAAGGTTTTGTGTGTGTGTGTGTGTGTGTGTGTGTGTGTGTGTGTGTGTGTGTGTGTGTGTGT